GGGGTCAGGCCACAGCAGTGGCAGCTGGGCCGGGAGCCCAGCTCTCCCCAGCGTGTCTCCGGTGCTGTAGGGCTCTGGGATCACGGTTGCCCTTGATGGAAACTGTAAACGGGGGCCGAGTGAGTAGACGGCGTGGTGGTGGGAACCAGGGCCAGACCCAGTGGGGACTGTGCAGTGTACAGGAGAGACTGGAACTTACCATGGGAATTCGCTTGGGCTCTGGGCGCTGATCTCATCACAGAGCCATCTAACGCAAATCCACCTTAATCCTCAGGGGCCCCCGGGGGCTCCCAGAACCATCTGGGGGCCCTGCTCTGTGTCAGGGCCTTCAGCTTGGGTGCAGATGACAGCCAAGGAGGCCCTTTCTGGTTTCCAGCTGCTCCTTCTGCCTTCCTACCCCACCCCCTACCTGGCCAGCCCTCCCGGGCCAAGGCAGAGTGACTTCATTGTATCTACCCACAACTCTCTCCTGAGCCCAGCTCCGGGAAGATCATGAAACACTGAATTCATCCCCCGCAGACACTGAGCTTCCACGAAGACTGTTCTTTTCCACTCCAGCAGCCTTGTCCGGCTTGTGCATTCTGCTGAGAGGATGAGGGACTGTGTCTGCCCAGAGGGAGAGGGAGGGGTGCCTTTCTCCCGGGCAAGCCTCACTTCCTCCCTGAAGCTTCCTCTGGCCTCTTTCTTTCTCACTTAGCTGTCCCTCCTCTGACCTCTCACCCCTTCGTCCACTCACGGTTCTGGGCCAGGTACTGTGCTCCACTCTGGGATGACGCCTAAGACAGTCTGGTCTCATGGTCCAGCAGGGAACACAGAAGTAGCCAACTAACCATGTGCTCTCAGGTCCTACAAGAAGCCGTCACCAAGACAGGATTAAACACACAAAAGTCTTCCCGGGGAAGGTCCCCTCGCTGAAAAAGTCCTGAGCGGCACGTTTCCTGCGACGTGGCATGAAGAGTGCCCGCAGGGCTGTGCCCTGTGTGTCCGTTCTCAAGGGTCCGAGGAAGACTTGACCAAGAAGGTGATGTTCGGTCTGGGTCTTCATGACAGGGTTTTGCCAGGCTGCGAAGGGAAGGAGGTGTTTCTCACACTAGTCGGTGCTTGGACACAAACTCACACCTATTTCCCCTTAATCGTTCCTGGAGTATTATTTCCTCAGACCAGGAACAACCTTACCCATTCCTCTTCTCGTAGTGCCTTGCAGTAGTCTCGAGCTTCCTAATCTATTCCCCACCAGGAAAGAAGTTTTCGTAGAGCCTCTCTTGAGTATGCATTATGAAAACAATATTTATTTTTCTATGTCTAACTCTAAAGCTGTCCTATAATTCTGACTCTGATTCATGTACACTACACATGTTGAGGGAAGTTGGCTAATTCTTGAGTCTTCTGTGAATTCCTTCCAGAAAAGACAAGTCCATGAGAAAAGAGGGGAGGGTGGGGAAAAGGCAAAGCCTCCCCACAAGGGCCTCTCGAAGTCTCCAGCCAGCAGTCGAAGATGTCCAAGAAGCATGTAATCTATTTTCTTGCAAAGTCGGAAAAGATTGATTCAACGCTGCAAACTGAAATTAGGGCTGGCACTGGCAGGAAGCTGAAAACACAGTGACAGAGGAATGTGGGTCTGAATCTAATTCCCCAGGTTCCAAAGCACCTCAGGAAGCTGAAAATTACCTCTTGGTAAAAAATAACTTTCTAGAATGGAACCTGGGGCAGACGGCCACAGCTCTGCCTTCCTGTGCCATGGGCTTGTCTCACATTGAGCCAGAGCAAGGACAAAGGTGAAGGCCATGAGACTGAAAGCTGGGGTCTACGCAGAGCACCCAAGACCTATTAGCATGAGAAGGAAACCACCAGGCTGGCATCTAGATTCAAGGACAAGTGCAACTAGCTGGAGGCCTGCTGTCGCTACACTCACCGATGTCCACAGGGTCCCTCCTTCTTCCTGACTGAACAAACCCAGATCATGTGCAGGCATAAGCTCTCAGGAGACTCACCCCATTCCCAGCTCAGGAACTAAGTGTAAGATCGGTCTAAGACAATCGAGGAATCTCATTGTCTTGCAAATGATTGGTTTAGGGGTGGACGTGTGACCCAGTTTTGCCAATGAGATGTGAGGTGAGGCCAGTGAGGAAGCTTCTAGAAAACGTTTCCCCACTTTTGAGGAGGAGGCCCCTTTCTCTGGAAATTGTCAAGTCTGTTGCCCCTCCTTTGGACTATATAATATGAAAGAATATACATTTCCTTTTTACTAATTGGGGTTTCTGTAGTTGCTGTAAAAAGTATTCTAACTGATGCACGTAATAAGCTTTTAAAATGCTTGTATTGTCAGGGGACAGTACGATTTTAGCCTAGGGAACTTGAATGTGAAATGGAGAAAGGTACCCCACCCCCTCTGGGCAGACATAGTCTCCCACCCTCTCAGTGGACGCCTTTGTGCAGTGCACACGCCCTGCTGCCAGAGAACGCCCAAGCGTGGTAAACAGAGGCTCTCAGACAACGCTCAGAGACCACCCCCCAAACCAAAACCTAGAAAATGGGTTTCTAAAGAGGTGGAAGAAGAACCAGTCCCCCATGTCCACATTAGGGACCAAGGGGGGACAGTAGACACGGGAGATGCTTGCAGAGTGCAAACAGGTGCCGTCCGAATGGCTGGATCCGGCGGCCGGGCGAGACACCAGCTGTCACCCTTCGGCAAGCGTGTGTAAGGCGGCACGTGGCACAGTCGTGGGGATGGGAAGAAGTCTGTGAGAATTGGGGGCAGCCAGGTAGTGGGCTATAATGGGCATCTCTCGTCTCCCCACCTGGCATCCTCCTTCCATTTTCCTTCAGCACCCTCCCTTCCTGCCTCTGAGGCCATGTGATTCAGGGGGACCTATCCCCTACCCCACCCACCATCTAGGGATGAGCCAATACATTTCACGTTTTTCCCCTCAAGCTTTTTCAAGTTGATTTTCCGTGCCTGAAAAAAAATGCACAGCTAACGCAAAGTCATTCCCTAACTTAAGAAGAGAGCAAAATGGAATAGGGAACGCCTTCTAAAAGCAGATGGCCACACACACACACACAAAAAAAATTTAATCATTCCTTCAATTAAAAAAATTAAATAAAAGCAGATTGCCCCAAACCCATTGTATGATTTCAGGCATGTCGCGATGCACCCCTGGGCCTCAGTTTCCCTGTCTATGAAATGAGAAAGTTAGTCATTCAGAAGGTTCTTCAAAATCCCTTTCGGCTGTGACACTTTATGATTCTAGGACATTTTCCTTTTTTTACCCCCAAACAAATTACAGCTGTGGAGACCGGTCTGGGCAGCGTAGAGAGAGCCTTTCCACGTTTGAGGAGAGACCAGAAGAGACCCACAGGGCCCCTGCGGCTTGTGATTTAAGTGTTCCCAGGACAGTGGAGGTCGAGAGGTGCCACATCCTGCCGAGGCTGCAGTCGGGGGTC